CCTTGCTTACACATGCTAGTGTTAAGGAAAGTAGACTGATTTAGTTTCACTCAACTTTTTATACTAAAAATTTTTTTTCAAGCAAAAAAAACTTTTTACAGAGGAAAAAACATCAATTTTTTTCAGTGACTTTTCAAATGAATTTTTTAGCAGTCAAGGAAAAGGTGGTTGTGCGAGTTAAGCACATATTTACATGCTGTCCAGCCCTGTGGTGTGGTGTTAGTTGGTATTTAATTTGTGCTCCTTCTGTTTACCCATTTATTTAAAAATATAAAGTCTCATCAGTGGTTCCCTGGGGTAAGAAGCCTGGGCTTTCCAGATGGATTACTCAGAGTTGCTCAGCTAGGGCCTAGCTCAGTAAAGAGCTTCACCATACGGCATATCCCCTTTGCCAGTAGGATGGTTCAACGCTTCCTACAGAGCAGGACTGGAACCCTCGGGCAGGTTATATGTGGCTTATAGTTCCTTCCTGAGTTTCAAAACACTGAAAAACTTCTGAAACTGTTTTGCTGAAGCTTTCTCTAAATAAGACAGATGTAAATTGGCAGGAGCAGCACCAGCATCTGATGCTTTTGCCAGGGTCAGTGCATGTTTCAGAGGATGGAATTGAGGAGCTGAGGGTTTGGAGACGAACCTGGGAGCTGAGCTCTGCTCTTCTTCCCTGAGGGCTTCTTTGATTGAATTTTCACTTACTTCACCACCTCACAGACAAATGTGTGGTTTATTGCAACATCCCACCCAGACGCTATGAAGCACTGGCATGTGGGAAGGGCGAGCATTGCTCTGGGTGCAGCTGGCAATGATCAGGGGGACCAGGGATGGTGGGACCATGGCTGGGCTGCTGAAGGATTTGGTTTGGAAGGTGCTGAGCACCCAAGCCCCAAACAAACACATGTCCACTTAACGTTGAGTGTAGGAATTGTTCCCTGAGATGCAGAAACCAGGGTGGATGAATTACTGAATTGCCAGGCAGGGAAATTACGCCGTTTGCCTGCATGCTTTGGGTCAGGCTGGCCTGGCTCCAGCAAGCTCTCCTGCAGCCCCTCTGAAGCTGATCAGAGAGGTCACCTTATCCTGTTGGCATTGCCTCCAGCGCTTGTGTTACCCCTTCCCTTCAGCAGCGCTGAGATTTATTCCAGGCAAGGCTCTAGTGCGTGACTCGAAGGGGTAATTCTGTGAACTAATTTATTAGCCGAGTCTCAAAGGACCTCAGAAGGTTGTACATTGAATTTTGGTGGTGGGATGGAACTTGTCTCTTACTGTGACCAGGACAATTATTAGTGCATGAGAGGACTTGGAGTATGTTAGTGTAACAGGCAGGAGGTTGGTGGGTGAGGGCTACTTGGGCATCCGTTCACAGGTGAGCTGCCCAAAAAGGTCACCCCAAGGTGGCCATGGTGCCAGGGCGATCCTGCCCCTTGAGGATCTGTGCCCTGGTGTGGACCAGCTCCCCATCGTAGAACAGGCATGGATGGAGGGTTACTGCACCGCAAGGGAGTTGAGTTCACATGTCTGTCCTGTCACAGAACTTCCTGGCTAGCCTTGACCAAGTTGCTTAGGGCCAGAGCTGGGTGTCACTGGGTGTTTGGACCCTCCTGCCTTAATGGGCATGGTGTTGGGATCTCTGTGCCCTGGCCATCGTCTGCAGGCTGGCAGGAGAAAGAGCATCTCCCTGCCATTGAGTCACGATGAGGATGAGTAGCTTTGTGAGCCTCTCGGTGTAGAGGTGGCCACAGCCATCCAGCAGACTGGGAAATGACCCCACGTACCACCCCTTCTGCTTAGCCCAGTTTGGCCAAAGCCTTTACAGAGATGTGGACTAGGTGCTAGGCATGTCTGGCTTTGGTGGGGTGCGTGTAATGTATTTCCAGATGCATCTACGTTTAATGTCTCGGCGTTATTTATCCACATATTCATCTTGTAACTAAATGAATTCAGTTTTCAAGAGAGACACGTAAAGGTCCAGTCTGCTTGAGTTTTTAGTATTTCATCTGAATGCCCTCACAGGGAAGTCACTAAAAAAAAAAAAAAAGAAATTTAAAAATTAAAATGCAGGGAAACTTTTCACATTTGTCATTGTTTTAAAGCATCTTGAACTTGCCCAGCAAGGCTCCATATGGCCATTGGGGAAACTCTTGCTAATAAAATTAGTTGTTCGCTCATAGTAAAAGTAATATCCAACAGCATCAGCTTCAAGGAAATTCTTGGCAAAGAGTCTGTAGTCCCAAGCGAGCACGTCCACATCTGATCCCCAGTTGAGCTGGGCTGATGTACGCTGATGCTCAGCTAACGAGGTCTGGTACCACTAATGGGGTCTGGCCAGGAGCCTGCAGAGAGATGCTGTGGGAACAGCACGAGGAAGACACCGTTGGTGGAGTCAGGGCCAAGAGCCATGACCTTAGCTGTCCTCCAGAGCTGGCAGGGATGCAGGACCTGTGTCCTCCGACTGCCCGCAGCTTCAGGGGACAATGTTTCCTGGGAATTTCTCTTCATTTCACACTGTGCCCACCAAGATCACAGCTCTACTTCTGCCAGACCCTGAGGTGGTTTGTTCCAGCTCCATCCCTGCTCATTGGCCAACCTTGGATAATCTCATTTCATCCCTCCATCCCCACATCCCACAAAACAGGGGTCACGCTGCTTGTGCCACTGGGTGATGTGCACCAAGACAGGCGTGGAAGGTGATGTTTAAAGGCAAGTCATACTTCTGACCTCCCAACAGATAGTAGAGCAGCTGAACTTGCTTTGTACTAAGGAAGAAATGCTGTGGGCTGGAAAAGATGCTAGAAAAAAAAAAAAAAAAACCAAACAAAAAAACCCAAACAACCACCCCCCTAAGTGCTACAGTCTGTTATTTCTTCCAAGGCTTTGCTACAGATTTTAAGCCTTTAGGGGTGGTGAGCATACGTGTCCTACCCCAAATGCTGCCCTCCACCTCTGGAGGGGCTGTTCCCAAAGATGCACAACAGGATGCACCCAAATAATCACCCCACTGTGTTAACGATGCGTGCGAGAGTGCTGCTGGGGGGCTGGCGGACCTCCCTCCCGGCTTGTTCGGGAAGGCGCTTGCGATGGGCCGTGGTGGCTTTGCCTTGCATAAGCTTTAATCTAAAGTTGGAGATGTTTTTAGCTGATCTGTGTTAATGTTGGGTGGAATTAACATGCATACGGGGAGACCACGTGACCCCCTACGACTTCCCCCTTTCCCTGCCACCCCCCCATCGTTTTAACGGATTCCTGCCCAATCGAAGTGGCTGGCACCCGGCAGGGCTGGGCTGCCGCCACCAGCAAGATGCCTGCCGTCTCTGTCCTTTACAAGGGAGCCATCATCATCAGCAGGTACTCCCCCCGCAGCTTGGGCAGGGATTGGGGAGGGGGTGTGGGGCAGCCCTGGGGGTCCTGGTGGCCACCTCCATCTAGAGAATCAAGAGGGATCTGCTGTGGCTTCTCCACTGGACCAGGGTTCAGTGGCAGGGATGGTTTGCATACAGCAAAAAGAGCTGGGGACATTCTAACTAGCGCCTGTTGTTGGGTTTCTTGCGTCTCTAGTATCATCAAAGCTCACTTCTGCTCTGCCATTCGTGTGTTGGATCGGGGATAAAAGTTGATCATATCAAGTAGGCATCTGCATTACTGAAACCTCTGTCCTTATGTCGTGTTTCAGTTTGAGCTATTTCTGTTTGCGCACGGTGGAGTTGCCTCGTCAATTTACTCAAAATACTTTGAAAATCCGGGATGGTAAATTGAACCAGCCTGGGCCCGGGGCAGCTCTGGCTTCCTGGGACACCTTCAAGCTTTGTTTTCTGACAGCCAGATGTTGCCAGGTTTTGTCCAGCCTCTTGAATATATGAAACGTTGCAAGAATTATCAATATTATTTTTAACAAGGAGAAAAAGATTCCAGTCAGAATCTTAGAGGTGGGTGTTACTGGCTTTGCAGAATAGCCTGATATTTTGACAGGTATTTTCGATGCCGAAAAGAGAAGTCTCCGAGATTTATTCCTCTCCTGCACCCGCTGGACTAGGACGAGCCTGTTTTGCCCCATAGTGTTGTCCCTCCTCAGCTACATCCAGATTTGGGATCCAATACTAATTCAGAAATGGCTTTTCCCTTGCAACTCAAAGTCTGGGAAGTGGAGTGTTTTGGAACCCCCTCGCCCCTGGTTTCCCACCTGGCACACCTACTCTGGGTTTCTCAGATCAAATGTCCACCCATCCTCACGGAGGTGACCACCACGAGCTACCCAAGGACGAGAAGCAGCAGTGGTCCTGGGTGTGGAGTCCAGGGTCCCCAGCCAGAGTAGAGTGGAGCCGGGCACTTGCAGTGTCACTTATTTGGGAGACCCACCTTGCCAGAGGGTGTTTAGGGGGCAACTGTGGGGCAGCTGGGAGAGTTACTTGGCATGGGGGGATCTCAGGTGTATGATGCTCTTCCACCCGCTGTGGCTTGTGATGAAAAGCTCCCAGCCTCGGCCTGGCAAGGAAGAGACTTGCAGTGGCTCGGCAGCTCTTGCATCCCCTTTTTCCAGACCCCCTGCCAGAGGGCCGGGGGCTGCCTGCCTCACAAAACCTCGGGAGCGGGTCGCACTCGGCTGTATTCGTTACAGGCTGTTCGTATTTGTGAAACTGGTTTATTCCCGGAACATCGGTCCGAGCTCTGATCTCATTTCCCGGGAGCTGGACAGCTGTCCAGCCCCGTTAATCTCGGGTAATGAATCACAGACAGGTCCATCAGATTTGCTGGGTGGGGAGGATGATGGCCAGCCCTGCACATATTCTCTCATTTATCTGTATAAACACCAGGGGGGGTGGGAGGGGGGTGATTTTTGCCAGTGCAGGCTTAATATGCAGGGCCGTGTCCCTCACCCTGCGTGTCTACATCGTTCCATGGGCAACGTCCAGGGTGGTGGGAAGGATGCGCTTGTGTGCATGTTGGCTGGGCATCCATGCATCTGTTCATTTTAGCCTGTGAAAGAAAGAGGTTTCTCTTCTCTCTCCCAGGACACTCATGGGACCATATGGGATGGATCGAACCGTGCATTGCTTTGATTTCTACGACTGTGCAAACGGGCTGGGTGAGTGCTGAACTTCTGCAAGCTCAAACATCCCCCTTGTCCCCAGCACCTGTGTCGTGATGTGTCTGCCTGTGTGAAGTCTGATATCTCACAGAAATACTGGCTCTGGTGCCTGCCTGTGTCGAGCATCTGAGAGCACCTTTTGGAGCCAGGAGGTTAAAATAAGGTCGAAATCCCAACTAATTCCCTGTTGATGGTGAGCAGCCGCAGTGCTGAGAGCTGTGCAGGAGCCCAGGGCCAGTGCCCCTCCCCTGAGCAGCATGGTGGCGGGGGGGAAAGATGATTCAGAAATTGCTGAATTTATTAAATTAACATTTAACGTTTTAAAAAAACCACAACACTTTAAAACTTAAAAGATTGTATTAATAAAAAGTCAATAAAATCCCAAGCACTTCCCAGGTGCCTGTCCCTGCCAGCTGCCCCCACCCCGCTGCAGGAAGAGCCCCCTGGGAAGCCACCCTGACAGGCAACACAGGGCATTGCAGCTCTCCTGGGGATGGGCTGTGTGAGTTACTTTGGAAAGTTTGGCCCACGAGTCAGGTGTCCTTCCATGGTACTCTGAACATCAAAGCATGGAAGAGAAGGGAAAAGAGACCATCATGTCCATCAGAATGTGAGGAAAAGCTGCACGTTCATGTAACTGAGCCCAAAAGGATCCCATATGGCATCTCAGCTGACCTCTGTATTCAGTATTCATACTGGTGCTCTTTTATGGACTTTATGAAAAATTGGAAGTCTTGCATCAGGATTTCTCGAGGTCCATCACGCAGACTCCTCCCTCATTTTTAATTGCAAATGTAGCCCATCATTCCGTAGGGCAGCTCTGGGCCCCTTGGTGAGGTCCCTGCGTGGCCACTTGGGGACCCCTCCTGAGAAGTCAAACTCACCAGAGAAACAAGGTCGAGTTTCCTGAGACCTGAGATTAATCATAGATTAATTATTGGCTGTTTCCAGCTCTTGGGTAACGGGGCTTTCTGTTGTGGAGGAACAGTTTTGCTGACTCTTCTCCTGGTCTTCTGTTCATGAGGTTCCCAGGAGCTCAGAGAAACGTCTTTGCTCAGTGAATATGATATTTTAATCTCCAGAGGTGGATTTGGTTGAGTTGATGGGATTTTAGCTGTTGGGTTAGATTAGCTTGTTAAAGCAGGAGACCCAGAAAAGCCTGACCAGGCTGTCACTGACCTCCGGAAGAAGCGCACAGACGTTGCAGTCCACTGTGAGCCACTTTGCTGGTTCCCAATACTCCTCCTTTCCCCGAGTCTGTGGTCAGAGGGTCTTTGCAGGATCTTGCAGACCCTGTATGATGTGCTGCAGGAAGGTATAATGATGTGGATTTTCTGTTACAGTAGTCAGCCTTTTTCATCCTCTCTTGTGAGTCTTGAAACACCCAAGACAAGCCATCATCCTCCTGAAATCACCCCTCTCCGCTGAGGACAAGCAATGCTTGCAGGAGCCCTGTGTCTGCCATAGGTGTAGCTGCTCAGAATATGTCTTTTGGGGGAAAAAGGTGCCTCCATAAACTGTGGATGTTATTCCAGCAGAGTTTCTTTAAAGCAGCATCAGCCTGCTCTTTGCTGGCATGGCAGGTCAGCGTTTGGCCCCGGGTCTGTTGCTCTGTGGCTTTAGGTGGAAACCCACATGTGAACCTCAGCAGAAGTTCAAAGGGGTTACCTGGTGGCTCCTAAAACCTGAACATTGAATTAAAGAATAGCCATCAAAGGGAAGTGCTGATTAAGAAGCATTTCTCAGAAACACCAAGATCCCATTATCTTGACCTTCATCTTCTTAGGACAGGGCAGCGAGTGACTCACCTCCAATCTGTCCCTTCCTCCAGACAGAAAAAGCTGGCCGGAGCTGCAAGATCAACAGAGGGATTAAGGGAAATGTAATTGAACATTGCTAGCTTAGACGCAAAGCGGGTGGCCTCTCTCCGTGTGGAGTGCCTGGAGCGCGGCATGACGGCTGGTGGGGTCAGGGTGCACCGGAGATGATTACAGTTGGGCTAAACAACCAGATTAGCCAGGACACCCCTTGACCCATGGTATAGGGAGCTGAGAGCAGGTGAGATTATAGCCTGAGAAGTTGAGAACTGTGGCACTGGCAGTAGTGGGAGCAGGATTAGATGCACCAGAGAAGCTCAACGGTCTTGAAGAAATCTGTAGGGTCGCTAAGAATCTAAGGAAAATGCCTTTGCGGTCTGTCTAACCTGTACGCCCACCTGGAGTTTCCCTGTAAACATTTATTCTGCAAAAGAGAAAATACTGGGGACCTGGGCATCAGATCCAGAACCTTTGCCAGAAAAGCAAGATTAAATAGAGGGATCCAAAATAGGCTAGATTATCTGGCCCTAAGTATGACTTAATAAGCATTATACCGGGACTTTGATGCTGTGATAATTAAAGAGCTGTTATTCACCTACACGGGGTCCCAAATATATATTTGATTGAAGTAAGTGTTTATAAAATATAAAGACTCCCAGGAATGCTACCACCACAGTCTTTGATGATTTGGTTTTGTTGCAATCAGTCCCAGGCTGTCCCATGGCTTAGTCCGAGCCCTGGCAGGGGTGAGCCCTTCTTCTTCCTCATCCTTCTCTTCCCCACCCTGGCGGGGACTCCCCGGTGCATTTTTCGGGGGGCAGCACTGGCATCTGCAGTGCCTCCATGGCGAGGCAACGGATGGGAAGGCAGCGTGGGCAGAGCCGATTTGCCAGCAAGGGAGTTGAAAGTCAGGGGTCGTCATCGTCCGTCCTCCCGTCCCCCCCCCCCTTCAAACTTTGAGTGTGTCTGGGGGCAATACTGTGAGTAATCGCTGATTTTAATAACAAGATCGGATTTTCTCCTGACATTGCTGGGATAAAGTAGGATTTGTAGATACTTCAGCTATATTAAGGCATTATTACAATTGATTTGCAGACACAAAAGGGAAATGAGTCATTATTGATTTGATACCTCGGCAGAGGAGCCAGTCACAAGCCATTGGGTTGCTGGGTGACACTACAGCTGCGCCTTTCCTGAGATGCAGATTTTCACATGATTTGTCTAACGCGTTCTATCATTGGTAGTTACTTCATGTTCCGGCGTGAAGAAAGACGTAGGCTGACTTCTTCAGTCATCACCTTGGCTTAAGCTGGACTTCCAGTGTCCTCCCCATCCAGGGGGACGGACACAGTTTTGCCTCTGTGGGACCCCCCCCACGCCAGGGTTCCCCAAACCCATCCCAAGTGCAAGCCTGCTCCCCAGGGTCTATCTGCCAGCTGGTGGCAAAGCCCACCGGCAGCTACCCCAGCCCAGTCAGGAGCCACAAAGGTTTCCAGTTGAGCATCCTCGGTGATAAGCAGGTTGTACCTTCTGTCAGCAGGGACTGGGGCTGCAGCATCTCTTGCCTGCTTTGGTCTGCAGGTGCCTGACCTGCCCCGTGCCTTGGTGAGGCTCACGGCACTCAGAGAGACCTCTTTTGGGCAATATTTTCAATTTTAGTGAATTTCTTTTAAAAATGCAATAGAGAACCTCATTGGTGCCTGTTCCTGAGGTGTTCTGCTGTGAGTTCTCAGTGCCATTGGTAAAACAGCTCCTCATAGATGCCTGGGAGTTGTCTGGTTTAATGCATCAAGTCCAGGCAATAAACTTCAGCACTCAGATGGGGCTGGGGTTTTGTGCTTGGGAGAAGTGGCAATTGGTGCATATAGGAATGAAACAAAAAAATGTAATAAAATGGTTTTAATTACAATTTTATTTCTTTCCCTAGAGGTAGCTGAAAAACACGAGGGTCCTCGGAGCAAAGCTGGGGTTATAAAAGGAAGGGAACTAGGGATGGAAATAGTGCCGTTGTCCCAAGTAATCCCAATCCAGGGTCCACTCCTCTTCCCTCCTGCTTGTTTCAGAAAGGGGTCTTGTGTTTTGGGGAAGAAGCTGTGCTCTGCTCCCTTGGAGGGAGGATTTTCTTGCATGGGGTCACTTTGTGCACCCCAGAACCCCGCCAAGGCTCAGAGCAGCTCATCAGCCCAGGGTAGCAGCCAGAGGATGAAGCTGGCTTCACGCTGGCAGTGTCCCTCTTTGTGGTGACGCCTGTCCTCAGTGTGCCCTCCTGTCCAAAGCAGCAAAATGCCTGACCGGCGGCTCTCAGGAGAGATTTGTTAATTAAAGCCAGGCTTTTTAATCCTTCTGTCCACAGCCTGGATCTTTGAAACAGGATTTAATGAGCCCTGGACAAACAAGTCTCTTGGGCCTTTTCCTGCCAGCCAGACTACGCACGCTGGCAGGGACAGGTCTCATGGCTGGAGAGGTGGCTGTGCAGAGCACGAGCCCTTTGCCAAGGTGCTACAGGGCTTCCAAGCCACTCTGTCACAATGCGGGGTTTCGGGGCCATCGAAAAGGTCATCACTGCACCATGGCTCCTGCCTCTGGGCTGCTCCTCCCAGCTCCAAACGCTGGTAAAAAGGGGCTGCTCTTAGGGCTGCTCCTGATGTGCAGCTCTGCCATCAGTGGCAGCTTCAAAGGCTGCAGTGGAGATGCTGCTGGTGCCGGGCAGGTGGGCAAGCTTGCAGCAAGGATGGTCTCACCACTGCATTAAACCTGGGTCTTGCCAGAAATGCTTGTCCCCAGTAACATTTCCTATGACAAGCCTTACCATGGACATGAGCACAGGCTGACACATCCACAGCAGAACAAGAATCTTTCCCTTCAGTGATGAACTTGGACCCGCTTGAGCGGGTCCAGAGGAGGCCACAAAGATGCTCGGGGGGCTGGAGCACCTCCCCTGTGAGGACAGACTGAGAGAGTTGGGGGTGTTCAGCCTGGAGAAGAGAAGGCTCTGGGGAGACCTTAGAGCGGCCTTGCAGTGCTGAAAGGAGGATTATAAGAAAGATGGGTGCAGACTTTCTAGCAGGGCCTGTTGATATAGTTTAAAACCATTATTCCTTGTCCTAAAAGAGGGGAGATTCAGACTAGATAGAAGGAAGAATTTTTTTATCCTGAGGGTGGTGAGACACTGGCAGAGTTTTCCCAGAGAGGTGGGAGATGCCCCATTCCCTGGAAACATTCCAGATCAGGTTGGACAGGGCTCTTAGTAACCTGATCGAGTTGAATATGTCCCTGCTCATGGCAGGGGGATTGGACTAGGTGAGCTTTAAAGGTCCCTTCCAGCCCCAACCAGTCTGTGATTCCATGAACTTGGGGTTGGGGAAGGTGGTCGCTCCTTCTCTGTGCCTTTCTGGGAATCTCCCTGCAGCCGTTGCTCGGAGCGGTGCTACCAGATGCCTTTAGCCTTTGTGTTGTATCAGCGGCCGCATCCCGTGGCTTCTGCCACTGTTTGTGCAGTGCAGGGGATACACGGGGCTTTGCACACATGGTTTTTAACAGGGGTATCAGGCGGTGCCGGGTGCCTGGGAGCTGTACCGGAGGCTGCGTCCCTCCAAGACAACCTGTGAAAACTGGAATTCTTCTGCCTTTGCGTCATGGGCACTTCTTTTTCCTTCAGGTATTAAGGTAATCGGTGGCATCAAGGAACTCACTGGAGAAGAATATGGAGTTTATGTCAAGAGGATCCTTCCAGGGGGTGTTGCTTACACAGACGGTGAGTGAAACGTGGTGTGGAGTACTGCGAAGTCTGAGAAAAGCCAAAGCCCAGTGTATTCATTTAATAAGTTGCCTTATTAGACATTCCAGGTGCTTTCTCGCAGATTTTCCAGCAGTGGGGGGTATTTTTTTGCTGTGGCAATCGTGGTAACTTCTGAGGGCAGCCTTGGCTTGGCATCTACAGCAGATACACGATTGCTTTGTGTCTTTAAAGCTAGAGCCACCTCTGCCACACAAAGAACCTCACTTAGCTGCCTGTCCTTTCCCATGTGCCACTTGCTGCCTGTAGCCTCAAAATGACCAGAGATCCTTTTACAAATCCAGCTCTGCTCTCGGTCACTGATTTCATTCTGAGTATCTTTAAATAAGGAGGTATTAGGCAGGGCTCTGCAGAGTTCACCTTTCATAACTTAAGCCAGAAAGGTGGCATTCGGTTTTGTTTGGGGTTTTTTTGTTTCAAATGTTACAACATCATTTTTCCACCTAATAAAGAAAAATAAATCCAGAACAGGTGGAAGTGCCACTCGTGGTTTTCTACCTGACCTCAAACTGAATTAAGTAAAAGCTTTACTGCATGTTTTGGTATTCACTTTCGCAACTTCCTACTGCAGCAGAAGTGCTGCGACATTGGCAGGGGCTGCTCAGGCAGGTTGCAGAAACTTCATCTATGGACATCTTGAAAAACAGGTTAGATGAGCATCTTGGGAACGACCTATGCATATTTCATCCTGTCTCTGGGCAAAGGGAGGAACTGCCCAACCTCTCCCAGTCCCTTCAAGCTGTATTTTCTGCAGTTTCTATCCATTAGTTTCCTTTTCCAGGGCGCCTGCAGCCAGGAGACCAGATCCTGGAGGTCAATGGAGAATCCTTAATTGGGGTTACAAGCGAGAGGTACTATATCCAAACGGAAATTTTGCATTCCTGTTGTTTTTGTATAATTCTGTGAAGTGGTTTAGTTTGAAGGTTGCACAGAGGACACCAGGGCATTGCTTTGCCTGTGCTCTGGTGCAGCCAGTGTTGTTCCCAAGGGCCAACTTGGGAATTACCAAACAAAAATTTCTATATAAAAATAGTTGGGTGCAAATTGTATTTGTGAGATGTTCAGACATTTCTCCCAAAATGCTGGTTTTGGTAACAGCTCCTGGCACCCTGACTCCATCTGCTGCTGCTTCCCAGCAAGCTCCACAGCTCCCAGCACCAGAGATTAGCCAGTGCTTTGTGTGGGGGATTCCCTCCAGATCTGGAATCCAGGCCCTCAGCTCCCTGCCGAGAAAATTATTAACTGATCCAGAGGAGTCCTGCCCTTTTGGGGCACTCCTTTTCCATTAAACCCAGTGCTGGCCGGCAGCTGCCTTGCATTTTCCTGCAGTGTGTTTAGGCTGGATGGACGTTTGGGAAGCAACACAAGGAGTCTCTCCTGCTCCCAAACCCCCAGAGCGGCTGGGTTTGCTGAAGGAGGTCCCCGAGGACATCTCTGCAGCTGCAGGGAGGCTGTGTCTGGCCCCCGGCACACTGCCCTGCCTCCCACGGGGATGCATGTGTTTTGAACCAGAAAGCTGCCATCCCTGAGACAGAAACTTCCTGAGGGATGCTGGGAGGTCTTCACTCACCACCACATCTATCTTCTGGGTCTGCTTCATTATCGGGGACTTCTCATTTATTGCAAAAGTGGGAAAATCAGGCTGCGACTTGGCTGCCCTATGGCCCCGCTGCCAGGGCAGGGGATGGGGCTGTTCCAGGGGCCTCCAGCTGAAAAAGGTCCCTTCGTTACTGGTGGGGTTTGCCCCGGCTATGGGCATCTGCCCAGTTTGCTGCGAGCTTTGATATGTGGCTGGGTGATACTGGTGGAGTGCCGCTGTGAGCCGGCGCTGACGTGTTGTGGTCCTTGTCTTGCAGGGCCGTGGATATCCTGAGGACGGCATCGGCCACCAGCCACATGCGCCTTCTTATAGCCCGCGATGACGATGCCAGGTAAGGGGTGTCATCTCGCACTGGGAAGGGGGATCGTGGCACTTGCCGGCACTGCAGCTGGACTGCCTTCGAGCTAACCAGCCTCAAAGCTCACGGTGAAGATGGGGGTGGACGAGGGTCTCTGATAACTGAGCACTGGTGGGAACGTGCTGGAGCTGTAATGGGAAGGGAAGCAAAGCTGGTGGCTCCAGTTGCAAAGCTGGCTCCAGCCCAGACTGTACTGGGTCTGTGGGGCATGCCGGCACCGAGCAGATTTCTGCAGGCATTTCACCAGTGAGGACCAGGGCAGCTCCAGCCTTGGCTACAGCACGGCGTGGGCTCCTTCAGCTCTGCTGTGTGGTGCTGGGCTGCCTATGCAGGCTTATCCCATCCTGCACAGAGCCTTGGATGAAGAGGTACAGGGACAGCAGGATCTTCCCTTTCCTTTCCAGTTAGACATGTTGAGTTAAGGTCTTCCTTCCCCAGAGGATTCCTTCTTCTCAAAGAGGACAAGCATTTTTCTCCCTGAAACCTCTCCCCTCACCACTCCCTGGAAAACCTTGCTTTCTGTAGAGAGGCTTGGAGGATTCAAAAGGAGAAGGAAAGAGTTCAGTTTTGTCTTGGCTGGATTTAAGCTGGGTGTGACAATGATTGTGTCATAAGAGAGGGCAAGGCTGTGGAAAACAAAGTATGGGATTAGTGGGGTCTTTGCTCACATCCCCTGGGAGATCTGGCACAATGTGCTAGGGCACCCTCTCCCTTGAACAGAAACACAGGTCTGGAAACGTGAGGTGCACCAGGAACCGCTGAAATGAGTGGGTTTATGCAAAGCGTGGTCGTGGGCAGGAGGCTGGTGGCGCCAAGGCTTTGCACTGCGTGTGGGTGGCTGAAGATCACAGAGTCGTTTGCTCAATGTACCCACATCCCGTTAGCATCAGAGATGATGGTTTCATTCCTTATCCATCAGCAGCTGTGGAGCGTTACCACCTGAGCAGGATAGTGAGAGTGCTGTAATGACAGTGATGAGACTAATTTGGACACAGTAATATACTGGTGGAAGAATTATTTGCTATTAATGACAGACTGCTTCTTACCTATGCTCTGCTGGTGAAAATAACATCTCAAATTATTATGTTAATGCAAGTCCTTCAGCAGCTGCTGAGGAAGCACTGGGTGAAGCGAGCAGGTCACCAGAGCTGGACTCGGGAGTTTAACCCTCTTTTGGTCTGAGTAAGGATGCGCAGGATGCACTTCTGTGCTGCTGCAGTCCCCTGCGCTTGCCTTGGGGGGAAATGGCAGTGGATATCTCGTGCTGTCCCCTCTGGGTGGCTGTTGGGGCTGGTCCCCAGCAGGAGGGATGGGTTCCTGCAGCTGAGCAGCTCCCTGCACCCATCCGCAGCAGGGCTTGCTCAGGGAAACACTTTCTTTCTCAGCCAGAACCCTCAAAGCAGGTTTTCTGCCTTTGCCCATGCTGATCTGCTCCAAGCTGCTCAGGCATCTTGGCGTGCCTCCTAATATCTTAAATTGCAGCAGATGTTTCTCAAAACATACGCACGCATGGCTTTGTCGGCAGCTCCAGCTCCTTCACACATCTGTCGGCCGTCCCTAGCCGCCCCGCGAAGGAGCTGCTTGAAAACCGACTGAGGGCGACTGGGAGGGCAACGAAACTTTAAGCAATTTATTTGGCCTCCGTTTGCTGTTGGTTATCTGTTAAATCTGCAAAAGGTTAGCTGGTGGGAGAGTGGGGAAGTAATCAGTTTATTTATTTTTTTTTTTAAAGATTTGCAGAGATTTCACTTACATAATCATCTCACAAACGGTTTAATGCACGAACGCACTTCTCCAGGATTAAGGGCTGTGGAAACAGGGGAAAGATTTTTCTGTTTTCTACTTTTTTTTTTTCCTTTAGTTTTGTCTTTATTTTATTGATGCCCTATTACCTTTTAAGTCTGTCCTTAGGCGTGGGTGAGCAGCCAGCTCTCTGTCTGGGTTGAAAGGGGCTCTCTGACTTCCCAGGCACTGTCAGCTCTGGAAGCGATACCTACAGAGCTGCTGCGCCGTGAACTCCCATGAGTTGAGGGCAGCCTCGCAGATTCCCGCTGCCCGGCAAAGTGGCTCACGAGACGTGAAAGCTAAAGGAAGACACGGGGAGGAGTGTGATTCGATGTGTTTGCAGATACTCGCAGGCAGGTTGTCTTCATAAGCCCTGAGTGCACAAGGCACGCTGGAGGAGGAAACGTAATGGCTCTGGGTTTGGAAGACGATCCAACCCGCCTGCCAGTTTTCCCAGTGACTCAGCCGAGTAGCATTTTGTTGTGGTTGCCCTCGGGTGAATTCGACTCAAACGCTATTATTTGTCCCTGGAGTTAATTATAGGCCCAAATTACCTGTACTCTTAATGGAACTCAGTCCTGGCATGTAGAAGATGCATGTTTTCAGCCTGTCGCATCAGACATGCTGCAGAGAGTGGCAGTAATGCTAGGTCTTAAAGCAGAAAATTCAGATTTAGAGCTGGACACGCTGGGTTTGGATGATGGTTGGATCTGATTTTCGTCTGTGCTCGTCTTTTAGCTAATGAGAATAATTTTATTGCATACGCATAATTATTGTTTATTCGTTCTCAGCCTGAAAGTTACAATAGTTCCTTGTTTCTGTGTGTTGCACAAATATCACCCTGGTCTTTCAGGTTTATCACTGTGAGAGAGCCAGTTTATACTGCACCTCCTAGTACTCGCATGATAAAATGCTAAATTTATTGCATCTTTGCATGATACACACAGTCAGCTCGCTGAAAATGGGTCGCTGTGCAATAGGGCTTGCACAACAAGCAGTGAGGAAAGCAGTCTGCTTTCCTGCAAGTGCACAACCGACACCCAGGAATCAGCGGAGGCTCTTGCCGGAGTCCGTGCCCGGCTTGGCACCAACGCGAGGTAATCCCTTTTCTCCTGCAAGCCCTGTGCGGGCCAGTGGCGGCTCAGCCCCTGGGTTTGTCCGTCTGAGCACTTGGTGCTAAACTGCAAGGCAGTGCTGGGGCTGACCCTGGCAAGCCTGGGGTGTCCCAGGGCCGTTGGCTGCTCTTTGGGGAAAACCACGAATCCTCTACCCAGAGGCCGAGATGCACCTGAGCATGTCCCTGCGTCCTCGGCATTAATGGGAAAGCAGAGCCCAGCAGCAGCGTGACATGCTGCCCTGCACAGGCAGTGCAGGGGGGCTCACAGCTCAGGGTGTGCTGGCTCTGCACAGCCCCATCCCCGGCAGCACTGGGCCGGGACGGACTCGGGCTCTGTGCCGGAGCTGCTGCTCTAGAGCCTCATCCCACCCGGACAGCGGTGGAAATGCTGCAGCTGCTGCGAGCTGGGTGTGAGAAAATCTGCTTTTGTGATGTGTTTGCAGTGCTTCGGGTTCACGGTTCCCACTGACCTGCAGGCTTTGGGGTTTTTTGGGACAAGTTGTTAATCTGGCTGGTGTCACAGGCTCCTCTTTCTCCCCCAGCTGTGGTGCAGAGCTGGGGTTTCCAGACGCTGTGCTCTCCCATAACCTTTGATGTAGGATTCACCCTTTGTTCTCCCAAGAACAAAAGGGCAGGACAAAAGGGTATTATGAGATAAACCAACGATATTCTGGAGGAAGATTGACCCCCCGCTGCTTAATCTGTAGCAAAGTCGGCCCACAGCTGGCTGCTGCTGGCAAACCCCATTATCCCACTTGGTGCCGTGGGGCTGGCTGAAGGCTGTGCGGGTCCGAGCTCTGTTACAGGGATCCTCCAGACCTCAAATGTCTGCATCTTAATGAAAAAGAGCTGGAGAAGGGATTATTAAGATGAACTTTCCACCTAATACAACCACATGATTTTTTTTTTTTTTTAAATAAAGCCGGGCGTTTTAGTCCTGCGGGCACCTGACAATTCAGAATGCTTTAGTTAGGGTCACATTTTAAATATGAAAAGCATCTTCTGAAGTCTCATAGTGTCTGAAAGCACAAAGCAAGACCTGTTGGCATTCCTTCAGCGTTCTCGTTCATTAATCGGCAATGTTTGGACATCATCTGCCCGCTTGCAAATTCCTTCAAATACCGCACTGAGCACAAAATTAATTCTTGGGAGATTTACACCAGAAAGTGTATTGCTTGCTGCTGGGATAAGCGTGTGCTTCAAGTTAGTCATGTGTTTATGTCCTTGGTGGAACTGGGGCTCGCAGGACTGACCAACAAAGCAGGAGCTGAGACAGTGGGGCGTGACGTAGCATTTAGTCACATCGTCCCTACAGCAAACATCTGGGCTGGTCTCAGGCTTGCAAAGCAACCCTGGGCTCCAAGCTCATTGTTCAGGCTCCTGAGCAAATAACGATAAATACTTCTTTGTGAATGAACTTAAAGACATGAAATAAACAACAACAAAGACAGCTCAAGTCATACATGCCCTTGCTTATAGCAGAGTTTGACAGCATGCATTGGTGATCGGGTTTGCATTGTTTAGCCAGGTTTAAAGAGCATAAGGGCTGCCAGACTAGTTGCATTTCCATTGACTAAGAGTTTTTTAGCCATTGTTTTAAGTTCATAACCCATTCTGTGCTCCAGTGGATTAGTATCTGAGGAAAATGCAACAATAGATGACCACAGAAATGTCCAGCCCAAAACAAAAAACCCAGCTGCTGATGGCTTCAGTAACCACTGGAAGTAATACTTTAGCTTCCAGCGTGTTAGACCTGCCCTGGCAATAGGTCAGGGAGGGCTAAGGCTGTCCCTGCATGAGTTACCAGGGCAATGGGAGTGTGAATCACCTATAGAAATACAGAGGCTTTACTGGAAAGTTGGGAAAATTCTGCTGAGGTAAGATCCATCCAAGGCTTAACCCAGGGAACCCCAGGATAGCAAGCCACTGTCCTACTGCTATAGGATCTGAGTTGTCCTTCCACTTTCTCAGGGCTTTTACATATATTTCAGTATCCAGTGCTAAGAAACTGCCTGTTGCAACAGTTTTGTGGAAGATGGGGTTTCTGAACAAAGTAGTTGTCGTTTTTTAAGGTCATGGGTTTAGCTGATAAAGACAAGTGTTGAGGCAAAGTATTGAGATTCACCAAGGCATTCCACTAAGTATTGTGCGACACTTGGATTTAAAATTAGCATTAAATGGAATGAATAAGGCATACATTTGATGGCAATATTAGATAAGGCAGGCACTGGTCTTTGAAGTTTGTTAATGAGCTGGTTGTTGATGGGAAGATGTAAATTACTGAGAGCATTTCCAGCAGAAACCTAAGGAGCTGATGATTCATTCATCATTTAATATTGTTGACTCTAATCTAGCCAATAATATATAACATCTGTCCCGGTAAAGTACGCAGATGACACAATGTCTGCTTGTGTGTAAGAGGAGTCTCCTCATTGAGGGAACTTTGCTGTGGCTGGTTTCCTACAGGCTTATGTCCTGAGCTTGTCTGACTGCCAAGCGTGAGAGCTAGCTGCTCATAACCAGGCTTTTCCTGTGGCTATGGCATCAAGGAGGCACCTTCCCATGGGGATTCCCTCACGCCTTCAAAGTGGACATCTGATGTTGTTACCGTGGCCGCAGAAACAATAATTTCAGGGTCTCTCCCCATTGCCTGGCTGCTTATTTAATGACACCTGTAAGAAATTAGTCATCCTTGAGGCTCTTCGCTCTGCCAAAAGGTTGAATGGACCAGGTAACGTTGGGTTATGAAGGGAGAGGACCACACAGTCGCAGAGGGACAGCGTGCTGCTGGAAGTGAAGAGCCAGTGCAGCAGGGGTGGCACAGGAGGCTGATGCTTGAATACGGCATCCCCTTTCCATGCCTCCTCATCCAAAAGGATGCCAGAGGCTCATGGCAGCTCGAAGAAGGATTACAGAAATTATGCAGGAGCTGGTAAACATGGGTAATGGTGGTTCTTAATGGGGTTTAAAAAGTCAACATGTTACACTTGGCAAAAGGAAAGTCACTAAGCAATTCACGTGTTGTGTACAGTAGTTACAGCTCATCAACGACTCAACACGCTTGGGTAGTTATATGGTGGTCAAACTCAACCTGGGAGCATTAATGAAGGCACTTGGGCACCGCCCCAGCTTTCCAGGGGAAGTTGCGGGTGAGATTGCTTTGCAGAGAGGTCATATAGGAAGCAGGGGGCTCTACCTCAAGACAGAGGAATCATGCTAAATGTTTGTGGGCTGCCGTTCCTCCCTGTTCCTGAATTCACTGACAAGCCCTTCTGATCTTGATACCTGTAAATTTAGCATGTGCCTGCTGGTTCAGCATCTTCAGCCATGAGCTGCTGGGAAGGGTACAGAAGCCTGAGGTGCCCCAGCACGCTTGATGCATGTAGGTCTTTGTTAAGGTCTTACGCTCCAAGAGTTTGGCCTGCAATGTTCGTGGAGGACATCACCATGGATGGATTCAGGGAGTGGGCTGTGTCTTTTGCACGTGCTCCAGAAGCCAGCTCCCATCTTTACTGCAGCAAGAGCTCGCAGGATCTGTGTTCTGTCTAGGAAAAGAGGAGAAAAAATGCAGAATAATCTACATTTAACTATTCTAGAAGCAGTCACAAATAGGCCAAGCATTTCTCTTTAATATTTGCATAGTTACAGCTCCCTCTCACAATCTGTTTAATTTGTCTGGTGTGTTAGCAAATTTCTGGGCCTCAGAGCTGGGAGTGAAATTATTCCAGCTGATTCCCAGGAGGGTCCACACAGCAGGGTGCAAGGCAGGGTGTAAGGCAGAGGTGCAGAGCAGGGGGCAAGGCAAGGTGCCTGTGTTCATCTGCCCTCTCTCAGGAAGGACAGTCGCCGGCACCAGTGCATGCCCATACATCCCTTCCCACCTCCTCTTGCCCATGTTCTCCTCAAACACTTTCCAGGGCAGGGAAGGAGCACACTGAAGCTCCAGCCCATTGCAGAAAAGTTGCACTGCCATGCAACTGATTATTGACCTTAACCTCAACCTCTTGAGATCAGGGGGGTTACCATTATGCATGATGAAGCTCTGTCCACTCCCTGTTGCTAGAAGGCATCGCCCTATAGAGTTGCTAGTAAGGCACCGCCATCAGAGACACCGTTGTCATTTAATCAGGTGGGGAATAGTTTTGAGCAGCAGCTGATCATACCATGTTTTTGTTTCCAGGAGAGAGTTCTCTGAGCTGCTGGAGAAGTTTGGCTCCCAGAGCAATACCGGCTCAGCACGGAGCTCACCAGTCTTGCATGGTGGCAGTGAGTAGCTCAGCATGCCTTCGGGGGGAAACCTAAAGCCCCTCTCTCGGCTGAGAGAGTTTTCTTTATCACAGTGTTTTGAAGGAGTTTTGATTGGATTTGTGTAGGTGTTTGGGTGGAGGTTTGAAGAAAGAGAAGTCCTGCTCGTCCTTATTGCAAGCACCTAGTGCATCCCCAGGTGCAAAGCAGCAGGCATGGCCAGTCCTGCCTGCACAGGGTGAGCATAAAGCAAGGCAGCCCAGTGAGCCTCCTCGAGGTGAACAAAGGGGAGTTGAGTTGGGCTTGTAACCGCCTCCCAGACCCCCAGACTCTGCTTAACTGATGTGCTGGGCAGACAACCCCATCAGTACCCATCCCTGCAGGTGCAGCTTTCTGCTATGAATTTCAAAGCATTTCAGCAATCGTTCATTCAACGATCGTTATTTTTCATTTGCAAATGGGAAATGTTTAATGAGATGCAACAAGGTTAACCCAAGTGAGGTGCCAGCGCATCAGATCACATGTGCTTGGTGAAAGAAGCTGTCCCTCTGGCTTGGCATCCCACCAGAAGGCAGCCATCCCTCCCCCTGTGGCAGAGGTATGTAGGGCTGGCAGAGGGGTGACAGTCCCACGCTGGAATTGTGCTGAGGAGGCTGAATGTTTCCCCTCCATGATCAATATACCGATGTCTCTAACTACCATGTGGTTTTCCCCAAAATGCCAGGGAAACAGTGTCAGCTCTCAGTGGTAGAGCAGGGGAGAGGAGGGTGATGCTGGAGTATCTGTGTTCCCTGGACTGACTCTGATTTTGCTGTTCAGGTCGATACCTGGAAAGTACATCCTCGGGCTCCTCCTCACGCTCTCAGAGCCCACTGCTGCTAAGCCCCGCCAATTCCCACGGCCCTTTCATCGGGAACCCGGCGCACCCCCCTCACGCACAGTACGTACGGGGCACGCGGAGCTGGCCCCGCAAAGCCTGTCCCTTGGGTAGTCACAAAGATATCCCCGAAGGCCTAACGCTGTCTTAGGGGTATATCCAGCAAATAACTCCAGTGCTTTGTTCATCCTTATGTCCTCTGTACTGTTGTAGCGCCACAATGGCCAGGAGACCACAGCAGCTCTTAGAAGCCCTTGTCATGGTGGCCTCTTGACTGTTCTTGGGAAGCCTGTGCCCAAGAGCTGAAAAACTCCCAGGCTGAGGCAGTCAATATGTCTGCGATATGGTTAACCATGCAACTGCTCCTCTTCCTCCCCTCTGACACCCCGGGAGGAGCTGCAGCTTACAGCCAGCTGAGAGGACCCTGCACATCACCCTTACAAACCATGTCATGAGCAGAGTGTTTCTGCAAGGCCAGTGGTGCTTTCAGAAAGTGTTTCAGGAGCTTGTTTTCTATTGCCCTGCTTCCAGCACGTTGACATCGTGCAACAAGAGCACAGGCACTGCCCTCTCAATGCAAACACTCCTGACACCCTCTGCTTTGGTGTCAACAGCGGTTGCTTACAGACACCGCATCCTTTTGTCTCCAGAGCATCTCCTGGAGCATGTGTTTTCATGTGGTCATCTGTCCCTTTCATATTTCACATGGTCAGAGGCTTGGACAGGCAGAGCTTGTTTTTCTGTGGAGTCTTGTCTCCAGGGTGCTTGGGGCTGCCCTTCTCAAGAGGGGCAGCTTGAAGGGTGTTAACAGTCGTGGAATTGGGACCATTTGTCCCCAGGGCTTGCAGCTTCCCTTCTTTTGCCAGCATAAACAAGCCAAGTCACTGGCAAAGAGAATCAGCCGTCACTGCAGAACCAGTAAATCCTCTTGCTAAATACCAGCTCTTTATTAGGGATTTGCAGAGGACAAATATTTGGCACCAGAGGTTTAAGCTGCTTGCATGGAGTGAGAGACCCTTACAGAGGAGAGGCCAGCTCATCTACTTGGCAGCTGGTTTGGAAAAACTAGACATCCTTGCTCTGCTTTTAACCCGCTCCAGGCTGCCGTATAGGCTAGGAGGGACCTGATTTGGTGGCCTCCTTGCTTGGTGCTGCCATGCCGTGCCATGTTCTGCTTGTCTCCATGCCGGTGCCAGGCCTCAGTGGTCTTCTGGGAGCAGTTTGAAATCACAGACCGTTGATTGCAGCTGAGCATCGGTGGTCAGCTGCAGAGATGTCATTTGGGCCATGGGTCTTCTCATGCATGCGGCTACCATCCCTTCTGCTCACTGCAGGTTGTCCTCAGGCTGTGGCCTCTCGCTGTGGTGTCATCTGAGATCCTGCCACCCCGTTGAGCAATGGGACTCCGATACGGTTCAGTCTCACCACTGGTAGTGTCTGATATTTTGATTTGAATGGAGGGTTTAAATGCTACAATCCATGACATCATTTCCTAAAATATTTCTTCAAAGTAATGTTTTTTCTTAAGATCAAGAGGCACCCCATATGAGTGCAACCCCTTTCCCCTGCAAAGCCAGCTGGCTCTCCTGGGACCCCAGTGCTAGTCTGGGGGGTGCTGGCAGCACGCTGCTCTGTCACTGGGGTGTCTGACCACTGAGGATGGCATCGCTGGGGAGCACGGGGTGCTTACGCAGGGGTGTCACTGTGAGGCATGGGATGCATAGCTGTTGTGGCGTCTTAAAAGTTATCAGATAACACAAGGAGGACCAGAAACTGCAGACCGTGTGGTGAGTGGCTGCACTGGAAATAAAGTGAAAAGGAGAAAAGCCAGCTGCACCCAGCCCATTAGGAGGAAAAGGCTTGCTGACCTCGCTGATCTCACCAAATCCTTCCCCAAAACCTCCCTGTTGCAACGCTGCCCACCTGCCTATGGGTGGTCAGTGAAATCTCTACTTCCACAAACACTTACTGCAATTGCTAAACCTGTGGTGACCTGGTCTTGGTGGCCTGTTGGGTCCTGTCTAGCAGGCAGCCCTTTGAGGATAGGGTCCCACCTTATTACTGCTCTGTTTGCAGTACCTCCTTGACTGGGCGAGTCATGTGGACTGCTGGCACAGAAGTAAATCACGGTATGGTGGGTATTTCTATAAAGATGCTGAAGGGCCTCATTTCCTAGGACATCTTGCAAGATTTTGAGTCCAAACCTCAGTTCAGACATGGTCAGCTGTGTATCCTGAGCTTCACTTTTATGTTTGCTAAGGGCTGCTTGATAGTTGACCAATGTGTTAACTATTGCTGTCTGGTGATTCAGTTGGATTCAACAATAGCCACATCGATCATTTGTGTGCTTTTGGCTATAAAAACCAAGAGTGCCAAATATATTCTGGCTAAACCTCTAGTTTCTCTCTATTTTCTAAATGCATGCAACTATTCCCCAGCATTTGGAATTATGCAAGCCAGTCATCTTCACAATGCTAAACAATGTCTGCTAAGAAATGGGAGCCCTCCCCTCCTTTTTGCCAAGGCTGGGTGGAAGAAAAGATGCAGAGGCAGAAAAGGTTGGGAGAAGTTAGAAGGATCATGCACGGAAAGAAAACCAGGCAGAGTTTGTTCAGCGACATGGGAAAATAAACCAGATCACCTTGAGTCACCTGCTAACATCTCTCCCTTGCAGCTGCTCCATTGAATCAGGAATCCAGAGCATTTCTATAGCAAAATCCTCCGGCTTAGGGCTGACAATCAGTGGTGGATCTAACAGGCCTGATGGCCCCATGATTTATGTTCAAGAGCTTTTGCCAGATGGTGACTGTTACAAGGTAAGTCAGCGTGGAGTCCCTCAGTGACTTTGCAATGGGGACCTCTCCTAGAGGCTGTAGCTGTTCTGAAGCAGCTTTTCCAAGAACAGATGCACGGACTAACAAGGGTTTGTGTTGCAGGAGAAGGCTTTGGGCAGAGAGACATTTCTTCCCAACGCTGTGACTTTCTCCCTCTTTGTTTAGGATGGTCGGCTCCGACCTGGTGACCAACTAATTGCGATCAATAAAGATTCTTTGGTGGGCAGCACACACGAAGAGGCCAGAAAGATAATTGCAAAAGCCAAACTCAGGTAGGCGCATAACATATTTCCTGTTATCATCACGGTGCTGTTGATTCTTAGGCAGAAACCCTTTGTGTCATACCGATGTCTGGCTTCAAGAAGCATGAGGCTTATTAGTCTTAAATGATGCTTCAAGATAGTCCTGATAGGTGGTCATATAAGGAAACCTTGAATGCATGGATCATCCTGAAGCGTAATCCAGACCTTTCCAATGTTCTGGTCCCCATGAATATCCCCTATCACTGCCCAGCAGAGTTCTGCAACAGAACTGAATTTCAAACAAGCAACACAGCTGGTGGAGGTCCAGCTACACTGGCGCAGGCTACATGGGCTTAAGTGAGATTACCCTGGGGAAGGAACCACAAGCACGGAAGTTCTGCAAATTTGTGCTTTGTTTGTTTGTTTGTTAATAAAATGTTCTGTGTTTGTTGTTTAAGACACGAGGGAAACACAGAAGTGGCCTTTATTCCTGGAAGGGGACGGTTACATCCTGGACTGTCAGTTCATAACAACATCCCATCGCCACCTCCAAAGGCTGTGGGAAATGGTCTGAGCTCCTGCAGACTGAAGGTCCATGTGAGGTCCCCAGAGGTAGGTTGAAGTTCATATCTAAGACCACAGACATCGGTCCTGTGATCATTCTTTGATCTGAAAACTCTTCCTTAGGGACTCCTCGGCAGTCCTTCTGAACGGTGGAAAGCCTGTAATGCTGATGTATGTAGCCCTGTTTTACAGCCAGGTATTTTAAATCTGAAATACTGTTTCTTCTGTCTTGGTTTTGAGATGGCAAAGGATCTGTGGAGGTAGGGAGAGGAATTTCATCTCTATGGTCTGCATTCAGAGTTGTTTCAGAAGTCTTGGGTTTTAAAAAAACAAAAACCTTTCTGTGGATAGCAACCTGCCACTCATCCAACCCCAGTCATAGAGCTGGAAGGGATCTCAGGAGTCTGTTTGATCTGGTCTCTTACCCAAAGGCTTTATTCTTAAAGACTTCTGATGAGGATGATTCCACAGCATTCCTAAGCAGCCCATTTCTGTTCTGCACTAGTCTAATGATAAGCCAGGCTCATTCTTCAGCTAGCTCCATGTTGTGTTTGCAGAGACGAGCGCTCGAGCTGTGTGTGGTAAGACAGGGTTTAACCACACAACCCTCAGGATAATTTAGGTCTGCGGCTGGATTCTGTGCATTTGTCACTCTTCTCCTGGCCTGGTGCAATGCCGGGTGTATCTTCTGCCCTTTTCCACAGAAACTTCCTTCAGAAAAGGCCGGCTGGACGCTCCTTTCATACAAGCATCATTCACAAAACATCTTCCTTTCCAGACCCTGTGGAGACATGGACTTGCAAGAATGTCATATATACGTTGCTTTTGGGTGTACCAGGCTGGAGACATGTTTATGGAAGTCAGCCTTAGCCCATACATGTATAGCTGAGTGGTATAGTTAGAACCTTCACCATCCAGCAGAAGGTGTGTTTCTGTAATGTGGTGCGCCTACATGAAATTAACTGCCAGCTGGAACTAAGTTGCTCCTTTCCTCACTTTGTTGCTAAAAGATGGAACTTTTAATGAGGTTTGGGCTTCCACACTAGGGAAAGTGTGCTCAGGCACCCGTGCTACCCGTCTGTATGTCCTCAGCACCAGTCCTGCACCCCTCTTCGTGTCTAAGTTCCCAGCTGTGGAAGCACGGTCTCGGTGGTGCTCAGCATACCTAGCCTGTGACTCTGTTTCTCCCTCTGCCATGACCTGGCACTCAAGAAAGGGTGCGCACTGGTCTCAGCTGCCTGTCATGTTCACCGGGATAACTGTGTGTTTTGGGTAAATAACACAGCTGTCTGCGGTCGGACCCAGGACCCCACTGGTGGGTTGGATGCAGGCCTTTAGGGAGAACCTCTATGGAGAAACCATACAAGGTCAAATTTGTCCTCAGCTCTCCATCATAGTTACAGTAATGACAAACTCATTTTTCTGTGTGTGACCAGAGATTTTGAGCTGCCTGTGAACGTGCCTGTGCCAAGTGCTCCCAGAGAAACCCCTGGACTCTCTTTTGGCCCATCTGCACAATGGTGTGTGTGGTGCCTTTGCTCTTTATGGGCCAAATGGGTTTTGCTGTCTCTTGAACACCTCTATTTTCTGCCTCTTTATTTACACCAACAGATTCTGCTCAGTGACTGCCTGTGCCGTTTTGTCTTGTTTTTCTAGAATAGACGTGAAAATCACTTTCCTGTGCCTTCTTTGTCACCGGACATTTGCCCACCAGAGCTTACTATCTCAGGTAAGAGTCCTGCTAAATTGCTTTCTTTGTGTGGTGACAAATGCAGCCTTGGCTCCTCGGTGCTGAGGATGATGAAATTAATTTTTATCAGTGTTTATACTGCTGTAGTGGAATCTAATGGGGTGATAAAGAGACTCGTCGCACCAGGAGAGAGGGAACGTAGCAGCTTGGCTTACTCAGTGGGTAGTAAGGAGGTATGTTTGTCCATAGAAGCAACACTCTTTACTAAGGCATTGAGAGGTGTTCATAGGAGACAACTTCTTCCATTCTCAGCCTGCGGTTCATTTGCAGCAGTGCCTTTGCCCATGTGCAAAGTTTATGTCTGACTCGCATGCAGGACGTCTCATTACAGGCGACATTCCCTTCTGATGGGAATGGGTGATCCTCGGAGACACAGTATTAAAAAAGTCAAGTAATGATAGTTATAATGTTCACAGCAACCCTGGGCATCATACAGGCATTAAGGATGCCCTCAATTGGTCAGACTGGGAAACTGCTTATAGATGCGATTAAGTCAGAATTCTCCCTACATCCAAGCTTCCATTTTTGCTTACTTTTCCATGCTGTCATTTCTCTCCATCCTCCGAGTCCTCTACTGAGCTCTTACCTTTTGTGGGAGAGACCTACTCAGTTCACCCGGCAGGATGGCAGCAACAGGAAACCTCAATAACCCCCATGATCCAGTGTCCAGGGAGATGTCCTCCTGCAAGATAGCCCCTGTCTCTCTGATATGAAGGTTACTCCTGCCCTGAGGAAAAGGCGAGCTTTCCCTAGCAAGTCCCTAGCAAGCACTAACCATCACTCTTGTGGCCGCAAGTCTGACGGCCCTTCCTTCCCCATGTGCTGCTAAGGCACTGGCCCCGCTTGTGAATCCCTGTGTCGGGTGGTAATTTCCATCTAGAAGGCTAAAAGCGAGCATTGCAAGGTAAATGATTGGTTTTAGTCTATACCTGGGATTAACAGGAGAGACAGGGAGCAGGCAGTGCTGGGCTGGGTGTGCGTTAGCACTCGGCTCCCAGGGATGCCTGTCTCACCTTGGGCAAGCTTGGCAGGCTTCAGCCTTTGCCCTCCATGCTCTGCACTGCAGAGACCCTGGGACAGGGACTGCCCTTGGTCTGTCCTCCCTGCCCCGAGCATCCTGCAGCCTGGATTTCAGGTAGGCTCTTGGGTGGCCACCCTGACAGTCAGAGCTCCTGGGGCCAGGGAGCAAAGCCCTTGGTCATGTAGGCAATCCAGCAAATAGCAATGACCTAATCACTTCCTGACTTAGCTAAGGGATTTCATTACACAGTTTTTTTAATGTGAAATGCCGAGGAGGCTTTGTGTCAGTGTTGTCATCCATGAAAACAGACAACTGGCTCTGAAAGAGCAGCAGCCAGGCTTGGAGCCTGGGACAGTGACTGCCTCTCTCTGGGTGCCTGATGGGTGCCCTGGGTATCTCCCTGTCCAGAGCTGACAGCAAAGCCACATGGAGCTAATCCTCATTAGCCATGCATCAAAGGGTAACAGCTCTGCCCTTGAACTTGAAGAGTAAAGTGTTGGTGGCCTATCCAGCAACCCCATTTATTACCTCTTGCTGCTTCCCAGCTGCTGGCATTAGCAGAGCAGATGAATACCCGCGTGAGGAGGATTACAGTTGTGCAGCACCACTGCTGCTCCTCGCTGCCTTCTCCTTGCACCTGGTCTCTGCCCCAGCAGTCTAGGAGGGTGCGGTGATAAGTGCTCAAGAGGTTCAGAAGTGGTGTTACTCAGCAAGACGGGGCTTCCCGTGATGTTAATCAGACCCCAGGCAGGCAAAAGCCGCTGCTCCCTGGGCAAATCCTGTGCCACTGGCACGAGAAGGAATTTTGTCACTGACCTGGCCTGACAGCTTGAGGGTGAGCAGGGGCAGGAGGCTGGGCAGGCAGGCAAGCAGCAAGGCTGCAGGCACAGCAGTCCTGCACCTTTTTGGAGTCTGGCAGGGGAGCTCCCGAGCAGGTAACACCTTCTGCAGTCCTTTTCCCAGGGAATGGCACGTTTTTTTACGGACAAGCATTAATCATAATGGGAAAAGTGGGGTTCCCTCCAGGGATGGAGGAGCACAAGTGGCAGGGCATGGCAGCAGAGCTTGCAGTCTGTACCATTTCAGCTGTGAAGGCAGGGCCGGGAAGGAATGATGAGCCAGCTGCCAGCAGCTGCCTCTTCTGATCTCATGGTATCTTTTCACCAGCAAAGCAGCCACCGTTCCTGCCTCTTTCTCCCTCTGTGTCTGCCTCGCAACGCATGTGGCTCCTTCTACTCAAAAAAACCTACCTGCCCAACTGAAAGAAAAGGATTCAAGGCTTTCTTGCAGTCTTGGAGGAGGAAAAAGTCTTGCACTGGTGTTTTTCCACATCACTTCTAATCCGTCATTGCCTTTTCCTGTGGATGCTGTGACAGCCAAGGCTGCATTTTATAAAAAGCTGGGTTTCAGTTTTGCTTTATCGATCAGAGAAAACAAAAGCCAGGCAGATTTGATTTTTTTTTTTTCTCCACAGATCACCATAACTGCAGATCCCAAGACTCGACAAAAATTTCTGATCAAAAATTTCCAATGTGCTATTTTTGCAATTCTGGGTCTCTGGATGAAATATCTCATCTTAAATGATGCAGAAGCCCAGTTTCAGTAAAGGTTTGCCCCAGTATCCAATCTTTTCAACAGTGGCCTGGTTCAGCCTTCCAGGATCAGATCTAGTAAATCCTGGTCTTTGATTTTTGGCCTGCTGCACACACACATTATATTCCATGCAACAAAAGTTCTGGATTTTGCTTTGCAGGCATCTCTTTCATCTACCCAAGTTCTCCATTAACATTTATTTTTGATTCTTCAGCACCCACTTCGGCACCTAATCATAAAGCAGCCTCAGGCGCCAAACCAAAAGTAGCACTGGATCCCCATATCCGGCTCAAAGATGAGAAACTGGAACTGGTAAGTGGAACAGGTTCCTCTCCCCAAAGCGAAGTTTCTTTTCAATCCTCTCTCAAGGTGTATCATGCAGAAAATAGTCCACTGGCATGATATGTCCTTGTTTCCAGCTGCCACATCACTGGCAAACACAATAAGCTTATGTGAATGGTCTCCTTGTATTGCTTTCCGCGAAAGAACTGATGGAGACCTTTCAGCTTTGACTCCTGCAGCAACGTCACACTCAGGCACATGAGGACCAGGCCAGGTGCTAGCATGGGGGTCACTATGTCACTATGCAAACCTGAATAGATACAGTCGAAGAGAACCTGCCTGCCTGTTTGCACAGAATAAAGCTACAGCACTTGATCAATGCTCTAATTTACACGTGCACCACCCTTTGTCCAACAGCCTGCTCCGGCCCGATTCCCCGTCACCTCTGTAGCATATCAGCTGGGCTGTGCTGGGAATAGCCATAGCCCCTGCGATGTGGCAAGCTGTATTTATCACCAAGGGTCTGTAAAAGAAAAAAAAAGGATCTCGGCTCTTCAGTCGAGTTTGCTGGGAGTTGGGTCCAGCCTCTAAAGGTAAAAAGGGAGAAGAGGGCACAGCGAAACACCCTGATGGTGTCCAAAAGGGCATTTAAACACACCTTGGCTCATCCTGACTATTTCTCAATACTCTAGGGAGCTCCACAAGTCTCTTCCTGGCAGTTACACCTCCCTTAGATGTAATGCATTTGACTTGGGGCTGTAGGTGCAGGCACCTGCCCTCCAAACTTTCCGGTGCTGCTGCTGTCGCTGCTGGGGTGACCTCGGGCAGCCTGGTGTGGGCGAGGGAAGGCTGAAATACAAGATGTCTCACCAGGGATCCAGCCAGAACCGCTGTTCCTTTCATCACTTTATGAAAAATATATTCCACGGGCACCATCAAAGCACAGGGTGTGCTGCCCGTTTGCTCACCGAGATCTCAGTGAAGGGCAGAGTGTCCCTGGAGGGCCATGTCCCCAGCCTGGTTTTGGGGTGCATGTACCCCCCTGAGTACTGCTGGCATTTGACGGGGGAAGCGTGGGAACGCAGCCCCTTCTGCAGGGCCGGGGGTTTCCAAGGAGGACCCGCAGTAACGAGCATCTGCTGCCACCCGACGGCAAACGCAGCGCTCGCCCTTCTGCTGCTCTCGCCGCCCGGGAGGGCAGCAGGCAAGCGGGAACTTTTCTTCTAAGCCTGCGTAATTCTCCTAAAGCGGGATTTAGGATTGCATTTTCACCGCAACCTCTGCTCGTCACGGGCATAAAAGCAGCTCTTCATTGGCGGGAGGAGTGGGGTCGCTTGGCTTTCGGTTTTAAAAGCCAGTGTTCCAAGCAGGCAGCTGCAGCAGCACCAGGGTCAGGAGATGCACACCAACCGGCACACGTCCGAGATGGTTTTGGGGTGGCCCACGCCAGATTCCAACACCTGCAGACTGAGGACCAGGGCATCCCAAAACCCAGGAGCCAACTGCACTGCCTTGTGCAGGGGTGGCGGGCAGAGGAGTGGTAGGTGGGACTCAAATGGGCCTTATAGGCAGCATGTGAGAGCAGACTGGTCCTGTGGGCTTTCTGGTGACAGAAATGTGAGCAAGGACTCGTCTCCAGCCCCTTTCCAGGGGACCATGCAGGAGGTGCTGTACGTGCACGAGAAGGAGCCAGGGGTGCAGCCTGGGACAGGGGAGTGCTTAACTTGGGCTCTTTCCCAGACTCTGCTGAGCTTGACTTTGTCTTTTAAAAGCTTTTACTTGTTGCCACCAGCAGCAAAGTGGGGTTTGCACAGGTTTGTCTGCTTCTGTGTGGTGCCCTGGGGTTGGATTGATAAATATCAGTAGAAGACAGGGCATCAGGCGTAATGAGAGAGCAAAAGTTGCAGCGGAGAAGCAAAATTGTCTCCTGCTGCCACAGGAAATACTCTGTGAATAGCTTCTGTCTTCTCAGTTTCAAACTCAATTCCTGGGCAGTAAGAGGAGAGGCTGAGCTCTTGGCAGCTGGGCCTTGCTACAGCTCCACTGGCTTTTCATAAAGCTCCTGACAGTTTGTCATAGCTGCAAATCTGTTTGCAGACTGCATAAAACGTTCTTAGAGCGATGTGAATGTGTCCCTGTCTTCAGCAACAGACAGTTCTGCACACATGTAGGAAAGGCGAGACTGCAAATCCAGCCCAGGCCTGGTCCTTTGGGAGATGCTGCCTGCAGAGTCACTTCCAGAAAACCCAGCACCAAGTGTGTTCCCACTACCCATTTCCAAAGAGTTCCTTTTCCAGTATTTTTCTTTTTAAAGGCTCATTGTTTCTGCTCAAGGTTCTGCAGTATCTTGGTCTGGATGTGACCGAGGAGAAGAAGAGGCAGTTACGGCAAAGCTTGACCACAGACTCGCAGGGGACGGTGGCCTATGGAGGTGAGTAGGCAGCGCTGCATGTGACGGACTTTTTCCATATTTTGTGTGGCTTTGCTGGAGGCTGAGAAAGGAGAGGGGCATCTGCTGCAAGGTGGCAGGTAAGATACCTGACTGGGTATTGATGTAGCCTCAAAAGAGCTAAGAAAAGTCACAAATACAGAAGAAGGTGTTTGGTAGAAGCATATGTAAAATGAAAATACAAGAGATTTGGTGCGAGGGCTCACTTCCCTTAACCCCTGCTTGCCAAGCAAGAGCTGGCCAGAGGATATGCAGAAAATAAAAGCCTGCACTGCTTTGTGTGACCTGCCAGAGCATATCTGGCCTGCAGGGCCTGCTCCCCAGAAGTTTTTTTGCAAAAATTCAAAGCCACCAGCAGCAACGTCCCCACCAGCACCAATGTCCCCACCAGACAGAACAGGCTTGCAAAGCACAACGCCTCCTGGATGGATGCTTTTGTGCGGAGCGAGCGATGGGATACAGGACCATGTGCCTCTGTCTATGAGCGACATAACTTGTGTCAACAGAAGGAACGATGATCAGGGGTATTCGGCAAATGTGCTTGCAGCGAAGACGCTGCTCTTGCGCTAAAGGCTCCAGTTCCAAGGCTGCAGCTCCAGGCTGAGGACTGGAGGGGTTGGGACACTGGTGCCACCTCCCCTACGCTACGCCAGCTCCTGTCTGTCCCACACAGCCCCTCACACTGTGCTCTCCTCCATATTCAAATGCAAAACAAATCCGGATTTTCAGACTTGTCAATTTAACGCCTTTTCTAAGTGCTGAAGTTATTGAGTTGGTTTTTTGTTTAAACCAGCAACATCAGAAATGCCAGCAGGCAGGCGGGTGCCTTTTGTCAGAGAAATGTGGGTTTGGCTTTAAATTTTAAAACTCTGAGAACCACAGTTGTGAAAACTCTGCTGTGAAAATATCTGGGGGGTTTTGGGTTTTTCAAAAGTTAAGCTTTTTTTCAACTGGGTAAGAAACAAGAGTCTGTTAAGGACTGTCAACAAATTATTTAAGCTTGATGGGATTGCCAAAGAACTGAGGAATGTCAGAGATGACTGCTTAGCATCTCCAAACCTGCTCTGCTTGGCAGTCAGTAGGTGTCCCCAAAATCAGTGGCATTTTCTCCTCACTCAGCGCTTTCCTCTTTCAGCCTGTTAAAAACTGATTACTTTTTTTTCTTGCAGATCTTCTCCAAGCACTCAGGGATCTGATGCAGGAGGAGCTGGATGAGGCTGGTCTGGATTCCAACTCCATGCTCTTCACGCAGCATGAAGTGGCCAGTTTGCTGGATACGTCAGCTTTTCACTCTCCGGTCAGTCAGTCCAATGCTCTTCTACATCGAATCCATGAAGCTTCTACGTGAAATCCATGAAATTCTGAGATGAGAAGAGCTAAATTACCATCTCCCATTTGTTCTAGAATTATAAAGAGAAGGCAGAACTATGCATTAATAGTTTTGATTATAGGAAATTCCATGAAAGACCTTAAACTTCTCATTTTTAATGAGGAAATAACGATATCTATGGCATGATATGAAGGAAGCAGCCTGGCTGTGATGGAGGGGGAAAATTAGGCATAATTAATTGATTCCAACTAATTTCACCTGGTTCACAAAATGAACTGTATGAACAAAATGAACAAAATCCACTGTAATGCAGCTATTCCAGCTATGTCAGGGATCAGAGAGTAAAATCCTGTGGGGTGAAAAAAACCATGCAGTTGAATTATTTAATTTGCCTTTTGATCTGTTGCATAAACATGCTGACTTCTTTTCAAAGTGATTTTGATTCATCGTTATTCTGGGTATGGACTACAGCATGCCTGCCATCCAGCCCCATGTTTTTGGTAAGGCATAAGCGCTGCCTGACGCTGGCTGTCCCTCTGCCTTGCAGACCTTCGACTCCCTCGGCTGTAATGGCAACGAGGAGCTGGAGCAGCTGCAACTGGAAATGATGGATCTGCGGCAAGAAGTCCGAAGGCTAAAGGTGGAGCATCTCCTCTGAGGAGATTTCTTGGCTGGTGGCTTCTGCTGTAGCTCACTGTAGTTGTATGCAAGGGTAATGGTGTAGCCTGTCCCTCTTAAGAAGTCACCAGTTTGCGTTCCGCGAGTTCCTTGTCACAAGGAAACTCTCACCCTTAGCTCTCCTTAATTGCCTCTTTCTTGCACTCAACCTCAAACGAAAAGCTATTTGTACATATGCAGTCACTTTTTAGCAGTGAGTAAATATATTTAAAAATACAAAAACGCATCTCAAATAATTCAAGCTCATGAATAACAGAAGCACCGCCTGTCCTCCCACCCCGACCTAGCTGCTGATTGCCAGCACGGCTGTTAGCACTATGGTGGAGTCCACGTGGATTGCTGCAGTTCGCAGCCCAAAGAGCACTGTGGGGGAGAGTACACACAACTGCTTCTGTAAAATATTCTGGTGGGTAGGGGCTATGAGACCAGGGCGTCTTCTAGAGAATGTCCTATTGTTGCTTCTAATCCAGTGAAAATATTTTCCACAGTCTCTCTTGAAAGAGGTGGAGAACAGCAAGAAGTCAATGGAAGATGAGCTTCAGAGACTGAACCAGGTTAGTGAAGAGATTTCTAGGGGCCTTGGGCTGGTTTTGGTGTTTGGCGGCTGAGGGGGACGTGGTGCATTCGCCAGAATTTCTTGCTGCTTCCAGAAAGCACTTGGGTTCCTCTCTGAGAACCGGACGCTGCACAGCAAGCTGCAGATGGCAGAGGTCGTGCAGAGACAGGCTCACAGTGCGGAGCAGGACTACGAGGAAGTGATCCACTTGCTGGAAGCTGAAATTGCAGAACTGAAGATGCAGCTGGTGGGGAAGAAAGCAAAACATGTCTCTGAAATAGAGGTAATGCAACCTTCAGCCTGGGAAAAAGCCCCACAACCCTCCCGACCCTTTTTCTGGGGATTCCTCCCCTTCTATTTAAAGGAGAAAATGAATGTAGCACATACATCATTTCTTGTGCATGACCACTAGGCCACCACGGTCTCTGGGTCCATGTCATAGTCTGTATAATTTCCACTGTCCATCCCAAAAGGACTGTGGTTTTCTGCTTGTAGCAAATGTCATAAATTGATGTTTCCAAAAACCAAGGCTGGAGCATCATCATCACCTTTCTCTTCTTCCTCTGGTCTCATCTCAGGAGGACATCCTGGAACTGAAAAGGCAGCTGTCCCTGGCTGATGGCCAGTTACGAAAATCAGAAGTCTCACGGAAGCGCCTGGAGATCTGCAATAGGAAACTGCTCCTGTTTGTGCAGGTCAAGTGCTGACCCGCCCCCGGTGCCGGTGGCATCACTGTGGCCTCTTACCTTAAGGGTGGTTTTGCAAGTCCAAACAACTTCCTGCCCCATAAGCAAGAGAGGGGTTTTTTAATTCCTTCTCATCCTAAAAAGGCCCTGTCTGTTGGTTAGGAGAAACCAGGAATGAACTCAGATACGCTCATCTACCCAAGAGCTATGTAAACACCAGGGTGCAGGTTTTGCCTGGTGGCTCTGCTGTCCCCAGCTCACCAGTCCCCCCGCGATGCTCGGGCTGAGGCTGCTCCAGGAACCTTGTTGGACATGGCGGTCGAACTCACGTGTTTTAACCTTCCCTTTGTATAACCAACGGTTGCTTCTCTACACAACAAACGGGAACTGGAAGAGTGGCTTTGCTCTTCCAGTGCTTTTTTCCCCCAGATTTCCTGCAAAATCTCACACATAATTTCTTTAGTCTTTTAATTGACTGTTCTTCCACTCACTACCTGTATTGGGAATACATTGTGTTTGTGTCATTAGTAAACTGGCCAGCCCGGGAAGCACTAGTATTCAGTATATCTGCTACAATTAGTAGTAGCCTGTCCCAAGAGCTCTTGAAATCAATAGGAAACAGTGGAGCAGAAGGAAGCGTAGCTGCTGTGTCCTCTGCTTCAGAGAAGGAAGAATTAAAATGCCTCTAGACCTGCAGCACTACGTGCTGGTGCCTGTGCGGTCTGGGGCTGGACTTTGGAAGTGGATTTGACTTGGCCCCAGGGTCAAACATCACAGGTTTTTGACCACTGATGCAAAATACCTTCCTTTTTTATACATCCCTCAGTGTTTGAGAACTCACTAACCGTGCATGGTAATGACAGCTTAAGCGTGCAGGTACAATCCAGAAACCAGGGATTGCTAGTAGCAACGATGAACGCTCGCTGAAACGTAGCCTGCAAAATTGTGCTTTGGAAGAGTATTTTTATGTTGCATTTTATATATTTTAGTGTTGGTATTAAAATGCATAATTTACATGTGTCTGTATATTTGCATAGGCTGTGAATGTTGCTTGAGTTGCAAAAGGCCTTGAGAGATTCGCTTCAAGGGCAATGAATAAGCAGAAGCTGATTACTGTCATATTAAATCTGCTCACCAGGAAAAACCCATGGGGTTTGTTCTCAGGAATTATTCATTTCTACAAGTTTGAAACCTTTTTTGTTTTCTTCTTTTTGTTGTTGTATGGCAGAACGTCCATAAGGTCCTGAGCACACCCAGTCATTTACCAGATGAGAAAAGGTAGGCGATGGCTTCTGGGAATCTTGAACAGGGACACAAAATGTCCTTTTATGACCTTTCTCAGGGGAAGGTGATTCACACATAAGTTACACAGAATTACTAAACATACTGTTGCTTTGGAAGTGAAACCACTGGGGAAAGATGATCTTTCAGGAGGCTGTTGGTGGATTGGTACTTGGGGAGTTGGCCTCCATTCAAGTTTTTTGGGGAGTGAGTAGGTGAAACACTCCTTTGGTTAAGTTGCCCTTGTCAGCAGAGACCCTAAACAAGTTGTTTCAAAGAAGCAGAATTTTGACCCACCTGCTTTTCCCAACAGATGTTAGTTTCTGGCTTTAGGACCATGTCCTTTTTTATTAGCAGTTACAGAAATGGATAGAGGATAAGCAAAGAGCTAGCATGACTCTCAACTGCATGAATGGTTGCAGAAATAGAGTTCAGGCTTCTGGACTCCCCTTCAACCTGAACTTTTCTCTTGTAAAAAAATATATCACAACTTTATGTGTGTTTTTAACTGATTAAATCATTGAAAGGTCACTGTACCATTGATAATGACCAGCCCCTTTACAAAAGTCGGTTTTTAAGAATGACTGAAAACAATTTTTAAGTTTCGAAAATGGTTACTTCTAATATAATGAAAAATGTTTTTGAGAAATTCTAAAAACAATGCATTGATATCTGACGGTAACACAACAATACAAGTATGATCGAGATGCAATTCCCCCCTGAATACACAGAATTTACATAGAATATCCTTCACGAGAGGCTGGCCAGGATTTTCAATGACCATTCTGTGATAGAAGTATTGATGGCACTTTCCATATTTATAAGAGTCAACAGTGAAACAGAAGAGGATAAAACAGACGCAGTCTCAGATACATCTCTTCCATCTTCAGATCTTGTTGACCTTTTGCTATCAGAAGCTAAAGAACTGTTAGCGACAATCCTCTCCCACAAGGACGGTAAGCATGAAATTAACTGGAGAAACCTGAACCCAAACCAGTCGCAGGGATGTCTGTTAGTGTCATTTACAGTTTCCACCACCTTCCATATTTTTTTGCCATACCAGTTAAGCCTCCCATACATGTACCTGACTCTCTCATGCTAACCAAGATGTAATTGCCCTCCGTGTATCTGTGAGACTTTGAATCCGAAATGCAGACTCGCAGTGTAAGGAGTTGAAGGGTGTGCCTTGTGCCCAGGGCCAGAGGAAAGGCATTTATCCAGGGAAAAAAACCTAACAGGCAGGAGGATGGTTTCACAGAATCATAGAAGTGCTGGCTGAAAGGGACTTCTGGAGTCAAATCTTCTGCTCCAGGTAGGGCTGTCACACTAGATCGGGTCTGCAGTGGGTTCAGCCCGCTGTGCTTTCAGCGTCCAAAGATGGAGACCCAAAGCCTTGCTGGATAACGTGTTCCTGCGCTATATTACGCTCTGTGAAAAGGATTTTCCCAGCATCTAGTCTGAACTCCCCCAGGTGCAGTATGTGGCCACTGCCCCCAGCTATGTTGTCTGCCACTGCTGAGAAAAGCTTGGCTCCAACATCTTTCTAACCTCCCTTGAAGCAGGAGTGGGTGCTGCGAGATTGCCTCATAGCCTCCTCTTTGCCAGGCTAAACAAGCCCAGCTCCCTCAGCCCTGCCCAGCCTCTCCTGACAGGTTATGGGCCCCAGGGCTCCCTTTGCTGGACCCCGGCCAGTCTCCCAGTAGCTTTGAATCAGGGATCCAAACCTTCGTTACGCCATCCAAGTATGTCTACAGCAATGCTGAGCAGAGGGGAATCTCCCTGTTTTCTCAGTGTGCAAATCAGCCCAGACTCCCTTCCCCTCGCGTGTCCGTGGATGGGAAAAAAACAGAGAAAAGGCACCTGGCTCCATGGGAGTCTGAATTAACTTTCCCAGTCTGGGACTCTGAGCTTAGTCTGTGAGCCATAAACATTTCTTGGCAGCAGTTATTTGACCCTGCTTGTCTCCTTCCATGCAAAAGGAGTTTGTCATCTCCTCCGTGTCAAAATCAGGTGAGTGCACAGCCCCAGAGAGGTTCCCAGTCTTTACTCTTTGATGCTATTCACCAACTAAACATGGCCATGGTCCAGCATTGTCTTTGTCTCAAAGCACAAGACACAAGGAAAATAATTGTAGCCTTGAAGGAGCACCTCTGATACATGAGCGTGTCAGCATTTTCGGAGTTCCTGCATCATTTCAATGTGCATTATCATAATGTAGCAGTGCTACTTGCATTGGGCATGTTCTCTAACCCTCCACTTATACTGGCTGTGTGCTTACATTTGCAGCTTTGCCATGTGACAGGGACCAGTGCCTGCCTGCTGAAGGAATCCCAAATTACAAGGAGTAGGTGTCAAAACTGCCATGGTCTGTAATTTTGACAGTACACACACTAAAAATTCCTGTTTGCTTTGTTGGCTTTTTAAATCAAAACTTCTGCTTGACAACTTTTAACCAGATAATCTAGTAGAGGCCTCCAGATGGCCATGTCAGAGAAATACATCCCTTCCTAGACAGCAAGAGACGTCCCGCCCTGCACAGTGAAGTATGATGTGAATTCCTGGATCTCTCTTTTGTTTTCTAAAATGTTCTTTTTCCTTCAGACCAGATGGGAATGTACAGTTCTATGGCTTATCTAGCCGGCATTTTTATAGACCACTGTGGGTTCTGAGTAAGGGAAAAAGCATCATCGTTTATGTGGTGGTATCAAGGTGCTGTGAAGTCCCAGCCAAGGACAGCAGGACAACATGGCTTTGTTTGGACCTTCAGTATCTTAAGAATTTCCCTAAAACCCCTTAAATATATTTAACAGAGCCATGTCCTAAAGATATCTGCTGACAGGGCACTTTGAGACCTAAGTGTCTACTACCACTGCCTTACCTGATCACCTTAACTCAACCTGAAAACCTGCCAGCACAGTTTTTTAGTTAGGAACAACGTAGACATTTGCAAACATAGGTGTTTTCAAGGTTATAAAAAGCATTTTCAGGCAAAACAGATGCCCAGTACAATCCACTAGCCACGCAAGATCCGTGGCCTCCTCTTTTCTTTCCTAAATAACCAGAGTTGTCTTCATGTTACCCTCTGCACCCTTCTCCCAAACTACATCAAACATGTTTCTCATTTTCAGCCATCTTCATCAGAAGACCACGTGGCCCCCTCCTGCAAGCCAGACCAAGAGTGATCAACCGCAGCCCCCAAGTCCAACCAACGAACTGCCTAAGTAGCCTACACAAACCACCCATGGCTTGCTCGTGCTCTAACTGCGCCTGTCCGTAACACAGCTGCTGCTGTGCTGGCAGACGGGAAGGACACACCATGGGTGCTTCAGCTTCCAGGCCACCCAGACTGAGAAACAAGCTTTCTAACATGAGACTAATTCTTCTGAACTACCCAAGACTTTTTCAGCAACCTCCCCTGTGCGTCTACCTCTGAGTTATCGTACAAGGCTATTTGCTCATGGTTTTGCAGCTTTATAGGAAAAATATTTTCAAGAGGCTACAAGGGCCTGGATTTCACTGGCAGCCTTTTAGAGCTTGTATTCTGGGTAGTAAAAGGAGCATGAACGTACCCAAGGGACTCAGGGGTCTCCAACAGATTCCTTTTGGTATTTCATCTGAAAAACCAAAGTATATTTAGTAACTGTAATCAAAGCAGCTTAATCTGTAGCGTCTTAGCTGTCTTGGGATAGGTACTTCTCTTTTTATTCTTTTTGTATAGCTTATCCCAGCTGCAATGCTTG